GCACAACAAGAGCTGCCTGTTGGCTTCTTTAAAGTGTTCAGTGACCTTTTTCTGCCTCTTATGGTAGCATGCACATTCGTGATAAGTTCACGGTAATAATGGTTACTCTGTAGGTGGTTTTATAGCAGAGCAGGTTCTGGAGTCAAGTAAATCTATCTGAGATCACTGACTTCTGCCTATTGGCTTAATCTTTCTGTATCTTGGTTTCCCACTTCTTTGTGGATAGTGGTATTTAATTTGGATTTAGGATGAGTTTTAACTGACCTAATGTATTTTCAAGAATATGTGAGTTGCTGCTATTGTTACTACATAGCAGTTCCAGCAGTGCAATTGGTAGCTGCTAGTTCTCACTGCAACCCCTTGCTCTTCTGATGTGTGTTTTCTGTAAGCCCTTGTCCCCAGTGTTTTGTTTTGGGTACTGAAAGTGTTAAATTTTCTCCAGACTGCTGCATCATATCCAGACTTTGTTGTAACATCTAAAAACTCTGTGATAGCACATAGGGATGTGAATTCTGGTTTCCCTTAAAATTAGGAGAATGTGATTGGCCTGAAATATTCCATGGCAACAGCTGCAAGCTGGGTTGTGGGTGCCCACTTGAGGTATTTCTGTCTGTATACCTCAGGCCTCATCCAGCCTCTCCTGGGATATTTATGGCACTTGAAGTTCTTAACCTTTGTCTGGATAAAGACAGCTTTTAGGTGTGTCCTCCCAGTGATATTTGACCCTCAGGTGGCCCCGTGTGAAGTTTTGGGCTTTCCTTGTGGTTCTGGAGTGAGACCTTGTTATTAGTGACTTAATGACCAAATTAGGACTTATTTTTAACGTGTGTGTATGTGAACATCTGAATTTTGTGTCATGGGTAAGGGTGTCTGTTGTTAAAGCCATTTATTCTAAAATGTGGAAGGTTGACTCTTCCCTTTAGACTTGTGGATGTGGTAGGTGAAAAGAGCTCTGCTGCTCTATAGTTAACTGCTCGAGTGAAGGCTATATTTAGTTCTGCAGCAGAGGTCTGTAAAAGCAGCGGGAAAGACTTCCTGACTGCAGTCATGCTTCAGTTCTTTTTACCAGTGGTGCTCAAGTGATTGCTAAGACCAGTGCAGCATTTAAATTTTGATTTTTTTCAGTTGGCCAGTGTTATGCTTGGCATTTATTCACTTGAACATTAAATTCAGTTGCAGGTTAACCCAAGTGTTGCTATTTGTAGAACTGACAGTTGGTGGAAGAATTCCAAGTGTCTTCCTGATTTGCAGTAAACATGCTTGCTAGGGTTTGAATTTCTGCTGTAAGCTGGATATTAATCAGTAATGAAGGTGTTCTGAGTTTACTGAAAGAATGAATTTGTGGAGAGAGCTAAGGTTTAGATAAGGGGCAGCAGACTACTGCCTGTTGAGCTCATGGCCTCTTTTTGTACAGCCTGGGAGCTCAGAATGATCTGTAAAGGATGGTATTCAGGTATAACAAAAAGGATAATATGACATTCTAAGTGGCCCACAAAACCTACTATGTTTACTAAAAGCAGTTTTTCGATCCCTGCTTTTATTCTCTATTGTCTGCATCTGCCGTGGTAATAATTGCACTTACCGCATGAAGTTAAAAAGAATCAGTGAGTTTATATTTTTAAAGCATTTAAAACAGTGCTGGCATTAATGGAATACAAAACTGTATTCAGAATAATGATCAGTTTTAATCATAGCTATAAAAGCCTGAGAAATCCTCATTCCAGAGTTAACTATGGTTGTTAAAACATGGTACAATAGACAGTGCTCTGATCCTTAGTAAAATTCTAGAGGTGATAACTAGTACCTGAAACCTAGTCTCCTTAATAAGTACTGTCTTCTTGTTGCTATTTAGCTATTTGAGATTTTAATGTCCAAATTACTCAACTTATATATAAGGACTGTTAAAGATGCTGTTAGTACTTTAAAATCAGTTTTGTAGTCAGCCTTCCCATCTAAAAGCAAGGTGCTGTTAGAGCAGGGGGTGGGGAGGATGTACCATTGCCGTATTTTCTAATGTCAGAGAAAATATCAACTACTTGGTAGCGCAGTCTAGAGAAAATGGATCTAATCTATTGTCTGAAATACTGGTCGAAGATGGTGACTTAAAGGGAGATATATACTTTACCAAATCTCCAAGGACTATGTCTAATAAGTTAGCATGTAAATGGGAGGCTTTTATTTGAAATCTTTACAAGAAAACTTTGTTTTCATTAAGCTAACATTATTTTCTTATAGTTTGCAGTGTTGATGTGGATATTTACCTATGTTGGTGCCTTGTTCAATGGTCTGACTCTGCTGATTTTGGGTGAGTCTGCAAAACCTGCGGAATGAAAATTTGCGTAAAAAAGATCGTGTGTAGGAACTTAGAAACATTTTAGAGGAGAATATTTTCATTGTAGGAGAAAAGAGTATGTGATTGAGATTGTAATCTTCAGATCTCTTTAAATAAATTGTTACCGTTTATTGAAATGCTACCTTAGTTCTGAAGACTGTGCCAACTAACCACATACTGGGTGGCCTCATTATACAGGGTACACTCACACATCTGATCAGGGATGGCTGTATTTATAAAGTCTGTGTGACACCTTTTGAAGCCAGAATGGGTCCTGTAGTCTCCCTTGGATAATTCTCACTTTGCCCCCCTGGGAGTGGCTCCCCATAAGCAAAGGCAGCCAAGGAGAGCCTTGGGTGTTCACCTTAAAAGTTTTGCCAGTTTGAGGATATTTAGTGTTCCCTAAATCATAGCAGTCTTTCTGAAAGATTGTGTATTTACTTTTTCAGCTCTGATTTCACTCTTCAGTGTTCCAGTTATTTATGAACGGCATCAGGTAATTTCTCAACTGTAGATTTCAGTACACAGAGCTCACTCTATTACATGGCACTTACCAAGTATCAGTGCTAGTTTCCAAAGCCTGATGAAAAATGAGAAATGTGATTTCTTTAGCAATTCATTTGTTAGAACACAGTAATGGTTAATCAGATTCTTTAGCAATGCTAATTTTCTAATTCTCATACATTTCTCTTTCAGGCACAGATAGATCACTATCTAGGACTTGCAAATAAGAATGTTAAAGATGCTATGGCTAAGTAAGTATTTAAAATCTGCAACTTTTTTTTTATACTAAGGAGAAGGTACACTGGACTTGGTAATAGTACTAGGTCTACGTTCAGGGCTTAATGAGTAGCAGATCTCCATCAGATCTAAAGTGTGACATCAGAGTTGCTAAAAAATTTCTAACAGTTGGATCATTCATTTCTGGGTTTACTATGTGTATTTAAGTCTAATAATGAGGCCAATGTGGCATAATTATAGCTTGTAGTTTGACAGCCTTAGGATTTCATGTCTTGTATAAGCTAAGCAATATTCAGATATAGATGGTTCCCAACTTAATGATGGTGTGAAAGTGATATGCATGTAATAGAAACCATGCTTCGAATTTTGATCTTCCCTTGGGTTATTGACGTGCTCTGTTAGGCTCTTGGGGCTGCAAACCACAACACAGTCAGCCACGCTTCCCCGAGGCAAACCAGCGCATTACAGATTAGCTCTCATTGGTCTGTACTGAAGTATTGTCAATTATGTGATTAGCTCTTTATGATAAATAGGCTTTGTGTTTGCTGGTTTTGCCCGATAGGCTGACACTGAGCGTGGCTAAGGTGGGTGTGCTAAATCCATTTTTTACTTATATTTTCAATTTACAGTGCATTTATGGGTATGTAGAAGTTGTTAGTGAGGAAGTTCTATCATTCTTGAAGAATGACATTTGAAGGAACAACAAAAATACTTCAAAATTTTAAGTACTTACATTGACCTATTTTTCCCTCCTTGTTTGTAGAATCCAAGCGAAAATCCCTGGATTGAAGCGCAAAGCTGAATGAAAAAGCCTGAAATAATTAACAGTAGTTTATCTTTAAGGGGATCTTCATTTGATTACATGGGGGAGGGTCAGGGAAGAATGAAGCCTTGACATTGCAGTGCAGTTTTACAGATCTTTATTTTTAGCAACGCAGTGTCAGGAAAAATTACCTGTCTGACTGCCATGTGTGCATCTTAAGTATTGTAAGCTGCTATGTATGGATTTAAACCGTAATCATGTTTGTTTTTCCTATAGGAGGCACTGGTAAATAAAAACGATCCGAGGAAGCTGTATATTACACTTGTTGCAGGTAGTCTTGCTGTATTTGGGGAATTGCAGAGAAAGTGGAGCTGAAAAACATAACCTTCTTTTCACAGTTTGTGCACTGTGTATAGTCTGTGTAGATTGATGCAGATTTTCTGAAATGTTTAGACGAGATCATACCACTAAGGCAGGGATGATATAAACTGCCTTTCTGGTACGTTCTAGGTGTATTGTGAATTTTACTGTTATATTAATTGCCAATTTAAGTAAATATAGATTATATATATATATCTATATAGATAGTGTTTCACAAAGCTTTGACCTTTACCTTCCGGCTGCCCCACAGTGCTTGAAGTGCTTGATGTCAGAGAGTCATTGGTCATAATGTCTGTAGTTCCAAAGCGCATAAGCTAGTAAAAGAAAATACATTTCCAGGAGCACTACCATCTGTTCTCAACCTGAAATGCCATGCACTTAGAACTCCTCATGTAAAAACTTCATTGCACAGACTTACTGTAGTTAGTTATGTCACAGACTCTGAATCTATGGACTGAATCTAATGCTTCCCAAAACGTTTGCAATTATCAAACATTGTTATGCAAGAAATTATAAAATGAAGATTTATACAATTGTGGTTTAAGCTGTACTGAATTAAATCTGTGGAATGCATTGTGAACTGTAAAAGCGAAGTATCAATAAAGCTTATAGACAAATTTTGTTTGGTCTTTTGGTTTCATTAAGCTGCAGCAGGAATGCAAAGGGGAGACTCCATAGCTTGTGCTATGTGCAGCTTATGGTGCAGCTGTGTTTACTTTGAAAACAAAAATTAACAGAGAGCATATTTACATAATCAAATTTATTAGACACATACCAAAATGATATTATGTATTTTTATACTTTGATAACTGAAAATAAATCCATGCACCAGTATTTGAATATTTTAACATAAAATCATACATATAAATGTTTGTTTACAAATAAGATTTAAGAAGTTTTCTTGACACAGACACTATTGCTGTTTAGATATAGTTGTACATGTATCATTGTTTTTCCATGTGGTTATTTCAATTCAAGATCCTATCAGTGTGAAAGGTCAGTGGTACAATATAGGCAGACATGGTCATCCTCACATCACCAGTCACGTGGTTACAGAAAACAGAATTAGGACTGTGTACAGACTCCAGTTGTGGGCCCAGCAACATACCAGGGGATTAATGTAAGGCATTAATATTAATAAACTGGCATATAAAAATAGCTGAATGAGCGCCCTAATCCATTTGGAATGCTGAAGCACTTCTGTGGTAAATGTTAATCTATATTTCTAAACAGAGAACTGCTAATAGTAGCTCAAGATTCAGAACTTTAGTTCGCTGACCATAAAGACTAACTGGTGTGTCTGTGCTGAGCCCCAGTCCCTCCTGCCTGCCATCCAGTGTGTGCGGGCAGCCCCTCCGCAGCCGCTGGGTCAACCATAAAGTGTGACTGAGGTGGTCTAGGGACGTCTGGGTTAATGTCCAAGTCACATTCTGTCATCCAGCCAATTCTGAGCAACTCTAGACTATTTTGATTTATAATCTTGATTTATTAACTCTGTCTGAGCTGATCCAGCCGTGACGTGACCTGTATAGTTCACTTGAAGCAAATCAGTGGAGCCAAGTCTCCCTCACTCTGGGAGTGATCAACCCAGCACAGCAGTTGGTTACCTCAGTTATTAGCATTTTTAAATTTAATGTGACCAATCAAATTACCCTCCTACACCCACTTGCGGGTTTTTTTGGCTTCCACTTTGTAGTAGGTTTGTTTTATTTGAACTCTTGTGGATTTGTAGGTTTGGCACTAAACATAACAAAAACCTGTTCTACCTCCTCCCTCCTGAACTTACGTTCCTTCCTGCTCACCTCCCTAGAGCCGCCACTTCCTAAGCGGGTAACATATTTCTCACTTAGGAAGCCTTGACATAAACACCTGACGTGGGTGACGCTGGGAATCTGCTAAGGGTCCTATAGCCCTCCTCAGTTTTGAAATTTTAGCACCATATGTAGAAAGGAGATAATTTGTGGGAGGTGAGACAGCAGCCCACACAACTGGAAACTTTCAAAGGCACTTCATGGATATAAAACTTTGCAAATGAAACATTAAAAAATTAAGTTTCTCAACTTTTATACATGGCTCATTTGGTTTTGAAAGCTAAATATGGAGAACAGAGACTATCAATATTTCTAGTACTTCGGTACATCTAACTTAAATTGTCTTACTCAACTTATTTGTAAAAATGAATTATTTAAAGTATATAGAAACAATAGCAAAACATCTTCTGTAAAAGTTTTGATGCAAATCAAAAGCTACATATTAGGGTAACTGAGGCTTTTAATTTTGTCTGTGGGCTACATTATTAGGATTTTTTGTTGTTAGGACATAGTTTTCAGTCTCAGAGTCAAGCAGTCTGAACATTCTAGAACTGACCTTCTTTCTTGGCATTAGGAGACTCCAGATGACGGGAGCAGCCACACCACTTTGCCAACACTTAAGAGTTTGTGCAGCTTGCAGCATCAGGGCGTGTCCCAGCAGCCAGCTGGTGTTGGGGGACCCCTCGTCGCTGCCTATGCAGTTGCTGGATGGGAGCAGCAGCAGCAATAATATAAGAGGCTTCTGGCATTTATAGGCATCGCCACACAAATACACTGAAAAAGCAGATCAGACAGTTGCTTTGCATGGCAAGACATGTTTTTGTCAAATGATAGAAAATAATCTTGCAGAGTACTCCAGAGTCAAGCTCAAGTGATGGACAGAATGTCTCTATTTTGAGGTCAAAAAGCAAACTGGGGACATTGCCACCAATTCTAGGCCTGCTGCTTTTTAGTTACCTTTTTTTTTTAAAGGTATGTTGTGTTGTGCCGAGTCTGATTCTTTGAGTAGCCTGAGTGGCTGCTGAATTTGAGGACTTTGGCAACCTAACCTTACACTATCTCTCTTGTTACTTTTGAAAAGGTTTTATCAGTCCCACTAGAGTAGGAGAGCACTTTCTAGTGCTTAGCAGAGAGCCAGGGTCAGAACATGCGCCCGTGACTAAGGCCCTGCATTTTAAAGGCTGTCTAAGTCTTTTTATAGGAATCTAGTCACCTTCTATCTCCTGCGCTGGGGTGACCAATTTGCTGTTTCTTACCGCTAGATTGTTTAGAGTTTGGCTAGTGCTGCTTTGAAGGGTGATTACATTTTTGAGGGAGCTGCTGCCAGTACTATCTCAAGGGCTCCAAGTGTCAGCAGCAGTTAGCACAGGAAGCTGGAGGTGTGTCATTTGTACACAGTGATTTTTGACCTGAAAGTGAGCTGAAATTCTCTAAATGTAACTTCTACGCAAATTCACCTAGACTACTAAAATATACCCAAGTGCACGCATTTCTTCACCCCCTGCTCCCCAAGAGTTTAGCTTGGGCTAAACAGAAACCAGTATTTGTATTTCCATGAAGCCCTTCAGCTGTGTCAAATGTGGAGTGACTCAATCACCACGTCTTTCACCACACTCCAAATAAAAAAATGGTGCAGGGACAGGAGAAAGCTGCCTTCTTGGAAATGTGGGAGAGGCTGGTGTGGTCTCTGGCGGCCTTCTCCCCAAACGCTGGTAGATCGGTTGTGCCTCAGGAAGAGCCAAGGCCCATTTCACTGAGTGGCAGCTCGGGGCAAAGCAGCTCTAGCTAAGAAGCCCACACACCTGGCTGAAGTTCTGCTGACTAGCACTGGGGCTAACACCCCTCACCCAAGCTTGTGTCAAATCAAATTTTTGCTGGGTGTGTTTCTCAGTGACCAGTGATCTACATTATTGATACTTTAAGATCTTGGTTGTAGATTAATCATTTTAAGAATTGGTGATCAATTGGGAGTTCTTGAAAGACTTAGGAACACGGTCATTCTGTGGTATGCAATGCCGCCATGAACTGCCAAGAGTGCCTACTAAGACCAGCATTTTGCTTTGTGCCCCCGTCCCTCAACCTAGCAATGCTTAGAGTAGGTGCCCCATGTTCTGGGCTTCTCAGCAACCTGGGATGGCTCTTACGGTGCTGACCAGTGAAGATTTGGGTTGGGAGACGAAACACCTTGTTTCTGGAAAGTTCTCGTCTTCTATAGGACTACCCAGGTTTTGTTTACTACCCACATGAGTCCTTCCCCAGGTCCCTGGAGGGGGGGGTGGTGCCTAACTCACGGGACACCTGAGGTGGAGATGGGGCAGGGGATGAAGGCCAGGCTTGGGGTATCAGCCAGGTTTATGAGGTCGCTACCTGCAGTCATCTCCTCCAGTGCTGACCACGTACTTGTCGTCATGAGAGAAACGGATGTTCGTAACATGAGCTGAGTGACCAAAATAACGCTTGTGTTTGGCCTGTGAAGCAAAAGTAAATGTAGATGGCTAAGAGGCCCCCCTCATCCCCAGAACCTTTCTCAACTCATGGGATTCGCGTTTGGCCTAGACATTTGTTAGCCGTCCATTCGCTGACTTTCCTGTCTCATTCTCGCCTTGTGGCCATTATGCCCACCCTCCTTTTTGCCCACCCTCCTTCTGGCTTCCAGGATTTCTCCAAGAGTTGCTAAAAAGGTTAGGTGTTTCCAGACCTTCACAGAGCTGGGAAAGATTCCTCTCGTTTTAGATTCTAGGGGGTCATCTAGAGTGCTTACTATCTCCCACACACTGCAGAAGACAGCCTGGGGGCAGTACAGAGAGGTTACTCTGAGGAAGACTCACAAATTTTTCTGTGCATGGAAAATCAAAGAGCTTCACCAGCCCAAAGTCATCTCCTGTGACAATGTTCAGGCCAGCATGGGTCACACATGCGCAGTTGACATCAGCCTTGTCTGCATTTCGTGGCCAGATGCCAATGACTTCGTCTCCCAGAATGCTGTTCCAACAGGAAGAGGTGTTAGAAGGAGATGTGAGGTGGCTTTCTGCAGTCAGCCATCCTCACCCGGGGACATGAGGAATATTTTGCATGAATCTGTATGGTCATAGGACTCTTCGGGCATGAAAGCATCTCTCTCCCACCTCTGGACGCTTGCCCCAACTTTTACTGATCTCTGCCTGAGTGAGTTCCTTACACCCCAGCGAAAAGGCACAACCATCTCTGATTCCCTCCCTGCATCCTATAGGCCCTCTGAGTATGTGCATGTTTGGGAGAGGGATGGGAGCTCCTTTCAGATCACAGGCGGGTGGTCCCTTTTCTCTTGAATTGGCAAGGCAGTGTTTCTTCTGTGGCCTGGCACTTCCAGCCTCCGCATGGCACCTGGACTTACCAAGAGCCTGGAGGTGGTTTCTATTAGCACTTGCTGATGGGGTCAAGGATTTAGAGGATGGAATGCACTAAGAGGTTCTCTGTGTTTCCAAAGGCCAGGCCAGATCAAATCAGTGATCCAAACTAGTACCAAGTAGCTTCCTACTGGTAACTCCCCAAAGAAATAACTCCATCCCTGAGCTAGTTCAGACCCGACCGCACCTAAACTTGAAAGCTGAATCTAGGATGAGAAATCCTTTATGACCTTTCCCCGGAAGTGTTTTCTTCATTACCTTGTCCAGGAGGCCCAGGTGATCTTCTCAATGACCACAGCTTCAGTTACCTGTTTCCCCAGAGGGACTTCATGTACCTGGCGCTTGTAGGCTCCTGTTGACACCTGCCAGTGGAAGGGAATGGTGTCCATCAAACTTCTTTCCAATCTGAGGAATGTACTCCTTCTCAAGCTGTTCCCCAGGCCCTGGCCCAGCCACTGCTCCCCCGGGTCTTTTCTCTAAACACACCCAGGACACGGCTCACAGGGAAGGGCACTTTTCCATCCATTCTCTGGCTATTTTTCAGAGTCCTAAGATACCAATTCTTCAAGTGCGCATCAGCATCATCTGGAAACCTGTTAGAAATGCATATTCTTGGGGCCCTGCCAGCCCTACAACATCTCAGTTGCTCTCAGGGTGGGGCTACCAATTGTGTTTTAAAGCCTCCAGGTGATACGGATGCTTATGCAAGTTTGAGACTCTTGTCAGAGAACAAAGATCTTCCATGCAGAGGTAAAGCAAGTCTTCTCACAGACAGCAGCTGATAGAGATGACTTGATATATCTAGAACCTTTGCTTGCCTGGGAATCCCCTAGAGGAAACATGGTGTTGGATGCAGCCTGCATCTCCAGTCCCCTCTTTGTCGATGCCTCTTCCCTAGCAACCCCAGGTTTTCCTGCTATTCATGGAGTGAGTTCACTTCACCTCTGTGGGCCTTCACACAGATGGCTTGAAACAGTGTTCCTGCCCCTCTTTGTTAGCTGACTCCTACACATCCTACAGACCTCAGCTTAAATATCACTTGCATGGAGAGGAAGTAAATCTAAATTCAGCACCTGTTAAATGCTCCCACAGCACCCTGTGCTTTCCCCCAACAGCCCGTAATCACAATTTGCAACTGCACATATATTTTGTAATTATCTGTTTATGCCTGTCATCCCTGTTAGAGGGCAAACTCCAGGAGAGCAGGGCCCAGGCCCTGTGTGCCCACCCTAAAGTCCAGCATAGTGCCTAGTTCAGTAACTATGTGATGAATGAAGAAACATGACTGATCTCTTACAATGAACGTCCAAGTGCACAAAGGGTATCTGCGTGAAGGCTGGAGAAACCACTGTTGGGTTTTCAGCTGTGAATCCCAGAGGTTGGACTTTTCTCGACCCCGCCCCATCTGGGACCCAAAGACAAAAAAGTCTCCAGGCCCATCTGTCTAGAATCAAGGTCCCCAGTGAAGTGAGGCTGAAATGCACAAGTGTAAAATAGCAACATAGGAATAGCGGCTACCCCAGAGAACCAGAAGTTAGGAAGCTTGAGGAGAGGTGGTGAGAGAAAGATTAGAGATGATCATAGTTTGTGTTTTCTACTTTTCTTATTGAAGAGTAACTCTACTGCTTTAAATGCAAATTCTTCGACTTTCTTAAATCCTCTAAGCTTGTTCATTTACAAAATAGGGGAAAAGTAATAGTATTTAAAGGGTTCTTGTAATCATTAAAGTAGCATACTGCCTGGCACATAGTAATCACTCAACTAATGTAAGCTATTGTTATTATTACTATTATTTTTGATTGTCCCAGATATCAGGAAGCCCAAAGCATATACCTGAATGTATTTGCCATCTGCAGAAAAATCCATCTGGATGACAAAGCTTGGGATATCTTTGCAGTAGCCAATGCGATTCAGGCTTGTGCCCTGCGTGAGGTCATAGAAGTCAACTGTGTGCTCAGAAGAACCAATGGCTAAGAATCTGCTGTCAGGACTGATTCTAGAGAAAGCAAACCAAGAGCATGGCCCATAAGGAGAGTTGTTGGGGTATGGTCTGCTCAAAGGCAATGAGTTCTCACTTCATGTCTCACATGTGGTAACTTCTCCTACATTCCACGGACTTGCTCTGGATCAAATCCCATGGAAGTAAGGGATTAGACCTTGAGAGGAAGATAGAAGACTGGAGGCTCAGAAGACATAACAGGAGGGAAAAGTCAGTAACAAGAAAAAAGCTCAAACACTATCATCGATTAATTTATGATAGGACATTGGCCAAGGTTAACCAGTCAAGAAACTGCATGACCACCATAGGTCATCCCCTAGATCCAAAACATGAGCATAACTATAAAAACCCTGATGTTTTCATCTGGTTGCAACCCTTTTTGGGGCCCCTCATATGCGGGAGCTATTTTGCTTCTTATCTGTCCTGCATAAATCGTCTAAGGCCTGCTTGCTGCTGGCAGGAGCTGGCCTGTATCTTTAAATGAACCCTTTCAGCTTGCTGTTGTGTGCATGCGGTATTTTATTCTTCAATATACCGGCACGGTTCCCGGCTCATCACATGCTATCACCACGGAAGGAAATGGATGTTTGCAGTCTTTTGTAGAATGGCATTTAAGGAAGTTTTTAATACACTCTTACTTGGTAAAATTAGCAAAGACATGTTTGAGAATTAATGTGTGAGAGGGTCTCCTTTCATAGTTGGCTCATTAAAAGGGCCCCTCTCTCATTCCAGCCATGGCACTCTGGAATGGGACCTGCTAGGCAGGAAAATGCCCACCCTTCACCTACAGCCCATGCCACTAAGTATGTACCTGATATCTTGGATAGCAGATTTCCGGTCTCGTTTTTTCCCCCAAACTTTCAGGCTGTTCACCAACAAGATGACAAACTCTCCATTCTTCATGCCAATGGCCACCATCTCGCCATCGGGGCTGTAGGCTGCACACCTGGCTGCATGGCCCAGGTTCACCTTGTTTAGCAGCTTCTACAGAGATACAGAGAGGATCACCTGAGATCAGCCTCCTAAGCTGCCCTTGGGGGACCCTGCACCTATGCCAGAGCTGTCAGACGGCCAGGGGGAGCTTCCAAACCTCTTATACTAACAGTCCCGAAATGCTGAGCTTTGGTGGCATGTTTTGATTACAGCAGTTTAAAAGACAAGTTGTTTTAGGGCAAGAGCTGGTGAAGTTTTTCTGTAAAAGTTTGGTAGTGAACATTTCAGACTGTGCGGTTCTTAAGGTTTCTGTTACAACCCTCAATTCTGCAGTTGTAGCACAACAGCAGCCATGGACACTAACTACATCAATTAATGGGAAACAGGCAGTAGGCAGAGCTGACTCCTTGCCAACTTCTTGTTCAGGAGGAAGAGTTTGAGCTGCTACATCTGTTCAAATCCCGAATCCTGGCTCTATCATTAGCTGGGTATTTTTTAACAAGTTATTTCTCTATCTCCCCATTTGTAAAGAAGCAGTATTAATATTGACCTTGCAAAGTTGCTGAAGTCTCTGCTTATGCAGCAGGTAGTCAATAAATGATAACTGTAAATAACAAATAATCATGAAAGCCAATTTGAATATAACAACCAAACTTAGGCTTTTGCATGTCTATTCTTTGAGTTTACACGAAAAACATACTAGTCATTTTGAAATAAAATCAAATATTGTAATTATTAGAACTTCAGAACTTGTTTCAGATAAGCTTGGTGACATTAATCTTTTATTTTTTTCAGACTTTTCATTGCTATTACACATTTCTACTCCAGATGAACTTTCAAATTGTTTCTCCAAACTCTAAGAGAAATCTTGCTGAGATTTTGATTGAAATGTTCCATTTGGGAACATTTGACATTTTAAGTTATTTTAGACTCCCTATCAGGGAAGATGATTTATTTATTTTTTAGGTTTTGAGTTCTCTCAAGGTAAGAGAAGATCATTCTTAATCAGATTATTCCTGAAGGATGTACAGATTGTGTCTGTATGAACGCAACTTCTTTTATTATTAAGCTCATTCATTTCATTGCTGACCTGCAGCTGATCTCTTACTCTGGGCTAACCACTGGCCCCATCTCCTCATTCCAGGCTCCTCCTCGGGAGAGGCCCACTGTGGGTGTTGCAGCCCCTTACCTTGTCAGCCAGGTCCCAGATCCTGGCTGTGCCGTCATTGCTGGCAGAAATGAAAATGTCCTTTGAGGGGTGAGTGGCCAGGCCCCAGATTTCCCCTTCCATGTGTCCATCAATCAGAATGTTGGAAGCAGCATTTTTTTCACCAACTTCAATTATTTCTCCATCTTTAGTTCCCACTAAAATTTTCCCCTGTTGTAATTAAAACAATATTAGAAAAAAGGACAAATACCATATGATCCCACTCATAAGGCGTAATTAGAGTAGTTACATTCATAGACAAAATAAAATGGCAGTGGCTGGGGGCAAAACAGGGAGGGGGGGAACCTTATGGTTTAATGAGTACAGAGCTGCAGTTCTGCAAGAAAGGAAAAGTTCTGTGGTGATGGCATACAGCGATGTGAGTGTACTTTTAACACCACTGAATTAGACACTTCAAAATGGTTAAAATGGTAATTTTTATGTTATCTATGTTTTGCCACAATTAAAAATATCTTTAAAAAAAGATATCTTTTAAAAAAACTATCTTTAAATCCCTGGTGGCGCAAGGGGTTAAGACACAACCTATGAAGCTATCCACAGCCACTGCAGCATAAGTTCGATCCCTGGCCAGGGAGCAACCCACATGGCACAGCAGACCTCTCCTGACTCACCCGCTGCTCCCCTCAGCAGTGTATTTCAGTCAGTCAGTCAGTCTGTTCTGTTTCCCACTGTCTCTGGTGAATCCTCTCACCCCCCACACCTCTGGCCTGTACCCCAGCTCTTATATGCAAAATAAAATAAATCTTTAAAAAAAAAAAACACTCTTATCTTAGAGCAAGCTGAAAAGCACTTTGCCGGCATTGGTAGTAAAACAGGAAGAGTCAAGATGTGTTTTGTTTCTCACTACATCGTCCATGTGTAAGTGACTTCCTTTTTGCCTTTTCTCTGTCAACCTCCTTCAATACAGAGGTTTTCATCATTCAGTCTCTGCTAGAATATTCATGGAGCAGGACAGTCAATTTCTGCTCTTAGACAGCTCAAGCCTTTCCAAGTTCTTCTGAAGGACACCAGTGAAAACTCATCTACTGATGACTCTACCTTCTGCACCTAGTTCTACCTTTATCTCCCATATGCCTAATGACCCTTTCCAGATGATTTTCATTTCTCTAAAAAAGGTATCAAAACTATTCCTTATTTTGAACTACGCAAATTCCAAGTCAGGTCTGACATTTTTTGGTGAACACCCAGAAAACAAATGATTAGACTGATACCAATTTAAATATGTATGCAAGGCTTTAAATGGACATTTGTTTTCAAGTGCACTAGAATCTTCTGGAGAATTAAAAAAAAATAAATAAATAAGAAGGAAAACTCATGCATCAAGGCCCCACCCCTGGAATTCTTACTTTGTAGCTGTGGGTGAGAACCTGGACATTCAGATTTTTTTTTTTTTAAAGGAGAACTCTTGGGTTTTTGTTTGTTTGTTTATTTATTTAGTTATACAAGCGCTGGGTACAGTCAGAAGCGCGGGAGGGTGAGAGAATTCACCAGAGCCAGAGCGGGGAGCAGAACAGGCAGAAGGACCGATGTACACTGCTGAGGGGAGCAGCGGATGGCAGGAGAGGTCTGCGCGCCATGAGGGACCCTCCTCCGGTGGCCTGGCTGGGGAGCAGCCGGGGATCGAACCGGCGCTGCAGAGGCTGCGGGCAGCTTCGCAACCCAGCGCTCAACTGCTGCGCCACCGGGGAGGCCCTGGACATTCAGATTTTTTTGAAACTCAGCTAAGGTATTTTTGGTATCCAGCTAAGGCATGACGTGAAAACCAATGGTTTTGAATTAGACAGTTTGGGGGTCTTTGCTCTCCTCTAACTGGCTGTACAACCTTGGGCATGGGCAAATTACTTCCTGTGTCCGTGGCTATAATATTGTCTGTCCCATTAGCACCTAAAATCTACTAAATGAGGGCACGTGCCAGGCAAAATGAGAGACACTGTGAATATAGGATGCATGTGTCCTCACAGCAACCATGTGCTGGACACGGAAAGGTTGAGTAACACCCAAGGTCACACAGCCAGCTCTGCTGGAGAGCCCCCCCAGGCCTGACTGCTAGGCTACCTCTCCACTATAGGTAAGTCACACCTTGGAGGTCTGTTTTAAGGGTTCAACAAATAAGCACAGGGAAAGCAGTAGACTCTCACTGGACCCTGACCACTGGCCCGGGCCCCGGCTGTGCTCACTTTGCCCCGGCACACAGAGCGCACACACTCCACAGGCTGTCCTGTCTCTAGTTGGAAGGCCCGGCAGCGCTTCATCTCCTGGTCCCACAGTTTTACAGCACCGCCTTCTTTGGTCCTACAAATCAAGAGGAATGTGGCCTGTCAGCCTGCATGCTCAACTTCCCCACGCCCCTCCCCGCCCTCTGTCATCTCATCAGTGCCATGGCCACCTAGGGCCAACAGGACTGACCCTCCAGGGCAACCCTGCTTTGACTCTGCTGACAGGTGATCACAACCTCTTGAAGTAGCAATTTCCTGACATGCCTTCAAATGCCACTATCTTGAAAGGAAAGAGAACTGTAATCTAGAAAATCAAGCTATGTGTTTATTAGCTCAGACACAGGGGAAGTGTTTCTCCTGTTTTTCTGCTTCATTTTCCCATCTTCCTGTCCCCACGGGAACCTCTGGCATCTCTTCTCATGTCTTCCAAAGAGTCACTTGAGAGTGACACTTTATGAACAGGAAGTCACTCTGGTCTAATCAAGAACACCGCTCCATTTCTTAAACTACCTTTTTTTTTGGGGGGGAGGAGGGGGATGTCACTGATTAGTTTACAAAAGACTGTTTTGTCTGTTTTGTCTCTTTCTAGCTTTATTCACTTTGCTGTCATGAAGAAGCTGCCATATTTGAATTGCCCCAAGGAGAGACCCCTGACATGGGGAGGCACAGAGGGTGTCCTCTGGCTGTCAGTCTGGTCAATAACCAAGCCAGTGAGCCTGGGAGTCAGCCCTGGCTCAGCCAAATCTTGTTTCTTAAACTACCATTAAACCACCTCTCTCCCTCTTACTTTGGAAGGTTTTGGCTTAGGCCACCTTGGAGAGGGCATGCTGATCACCATGATGCAGAAGAGACAGGACAATGGAAACCTGCATTTCCTTCAAGTTGGGGAAGCCTCTGTCAGTTTTTCCCACTAAAAAGGGACCAATTGCTCCTGGGGGAGCTTTGGCTTACGGCCGCTCTTTTCCACCAGTCACTATGAGTCCATCCCGAAGGGTCGTGTACATTGTGAAGACAGGGCCCGTGTGAGCCTTGGCCACCAGGCGGACGAGGAAGTGGTCCTTCCACACGTAGACGTCTCCATTGATGGCACCCGTGAAAGTGAGGTTGTTCTGTAAACAAAGGGACACCTGCCACACCAGGACACTCAGCAGCTCTCAGGGGGGTCCCTTCCCAGTCACCTGCTCTTGTATTAAGGAACCAGAGCCAGAGAAACAGGGACACACACTAAGGCTGATCTTTTGTGCCAAGGAAAGGCAAGATAATTTGCAGGAAACCACAAAGAGCATATGATAGGAAATATCTCTATTTAGTGTAGGGCTTTTGACTTCTGCACTAGCCCATTTACATGAACTTCCACTCTGCCAACAAGGCTCACATGACAGCAGAGGAAAGGGTGAGACTCTAGCCTACAAGGACTTTCCTGGGCTCACCTGAGACTGACAAATCTACTCCTGGAGGACCAGAGTTGGTTGTGTTTCAAAATGTCCCCAGGGGAGCCTGCATTTGCTAACAGCACCCACAGCCCATCTAAGCATGTTCGTTGGGGGTATTTGTGGGCAGGAGGGCTGGGAGAGAAGAGATACTATCCAGGGGTGGGACGGTCCCCAGCATCCTCTGTGGCAATCGAGCCCAGCTCTGATGAACTTGCCAATGAGTTAGCCCTGGAGTAATAAACCTGAGTGGGGTTCTTTTCTGATTAACACTTGGTGGGGCGGGGGATGAATAGAGTTGATTCACTAATGTGTGCTGAGGAAAGGGAACAGCGTTTGCAAGTAAGTGAGCAAGGGAGAAAACGTAGAAACAGCTTTCTAGTGTGCAGCTTCCTGGCCATATTCCTTCCCCTCCCCTTGCCACACCCCACCACAAACCCATGCCCAGAGGTTCAAGTTCTCATCTTGGAAGGCTCCAGCAGGAACTCACAGCACCGAAGGCCACAGAGAGCATTGTCTGCATCTTGGCAGCTTCCATGGACCCAATGACTCCTTTCTTGTAAAGCAGGGCGCTGCCAGCCAGGGTCCAGAACTTCATATGTTTGACCCCAACAGATACAAACTGCGTGTCTGAGTCAGGGCGGAATTCCACCACAAAAATGCGCTCCAGGTGACCCCCTCGGCTGGCAACCTTGGCACCTGTGGGGGTGAGAGTGTCTGGTAAAGTGGCCCGCCCTGCTTCTGGGCCAGGCAGTCAGCTGCAGCCCCACCAGGCCCAGGGTACCCTTCAGGGTTGAGCTTCTTCAGTGGCTCCTCCCCCTCCAGACACTCAGGATAGGAAAAAGGGGCTGTGTCTGGTAAAGCTCCGGAGCAGCAGGTGCTGCTGACATAACCGCCTGCCCCACAAGCCAGACCCAGGCGTCTGTGACACAGCAGGAAAGGAGGCCCAGGAGATGAGCTTCCAGCTCTGAGGAAGGAGAAAATGGCTGACAGCGCCCTCCACCAACCCAGCGAGTCTCCCTGTCACCCAGGATTCTCCACGGGAAGCTCCGCCCTCCCGGGAGCGTCACTAGAGGCTCAGATTCAATCACACAGTTTTTATTTCTAAGAGTCTCTTTTATTTTCTTTAAAAAATTAAGTTCTCAATATTCCTTTTTTCTTTTGTGGCTTTTAGGTTTGACAATTTTACCTTTTATAGTTAATGAGGAGCTTTATTATTTTCCCTCAACCCCATTTATTTATTGTAGGGTAAACAGTTTTCTGGCTTTTTGCCCTTCCACCATTAGGATGGCCCTGTCTGGCGGTGGCACCTGCATTTTGTTACATTGTTATTTTCAGTTGTGCGCTTTACTCTTGTGGGCCATGGCTGCGGTACATTTGCCAAGAGAAGGAGAGAACAGGAGAGAGAAGGGGAGAAACAGCACTAGGGAGCTCAGAGTGAAGACCCGCCTGTCGGCCTCGTGGCCCCCAGGCACTCCTGCCCGCCCTGTACCTGTTTGCTGCACTACATGTAAAAGCTCAATTAAAGCCTGAGAGAGCCACTGAGAGCTCCAGGACTTTCCTTTACTGGGTCTGCTCAGATCAGAAGGAACCAGCTCAGTGCCCTTCCTGCCACTACATTTATGTTGACTTTTCTCCTGAGTTTTTTTTTTCCTCCTGAGTTTCGTTTAATCTGTGTCATAAACAAATCCCAATTCCACCATTTACTTACAGGTTATGTAACAATTCTGTGCCTCAGTTACCTTATTTGTAAATTGAGGATAATAATAGTTCCCATTTTACAAAATGCTGTGAAGATGAAAAGAACTGATGTAAATGAGGCCCTCGGAACAGTGCTGGGCATTTACAGTGGTATGTCGCATCAACTATTATTGTTGTTACCACTCTTTTAGTGCATTCCTGTATCTTTTGCTTTCTACTCTTTTCACCTATATTTTAAACCTGATCTATTTTTATCTCATGTATTTCTGCCCTTGAGTTTTTAATTTTCACTTTAAACTTCAATTATCTTTTTTCTTATTTTCTTTTACTCTGTTTTAGTTTCAATTTTTTCTTACTCATCTCTTCTCCCTCTATTATTTACTCACATACCCACAGGCCCTCCTCACTTCCATGCCCCCTGGGGCTCCTTTCCAGAGGTGGCTGGGGGGACCTGCAGGTTACCTCTCACAACAGAAATTCTCTTGAAGGTGGAGTGCTGGACTTGCTCTAACAGATACCTCACTACCTACTTAAGATCAGAGGTTTAAACACAATGGTCCCTCCCATCCCCAAGGACATCACAAACTAAGTTCAAAGACAAACTGGGAAGAAAACATTTGCAACACTTGAAATAGATGAAGAATTAACATTAGTAAAGAGCTACAAATCATAAGCAAAAAAGATAAGCACCCCCAGTAGAAAAAGGGGATTTGAAGAGCTGAATTACAGAAGGAGCTGTAGCAGTCAGTAAAGAGATGGTATAAGAGTCAATCTCAGTAGTGGTGGGGGGTGGGGTAGAGGATGCAACATAATATAACAGTAAGATGCACATTGCTCGTAAGCCACTGTTATTTTTTCCTTGTTTAATCTCATGGACACTTCTAATTGTGGACAATTCTGTCTGCTTTTCTATATCGGCTTGTTCAGAGCAAACTTCATACAAGTACCTAGAACTTGACAACATGCATTTTATAAAGTAAACTCACTTTTCACTCCATTTAATTTTGCTCATTCTTACAACTACACACACCACCTCCCAAGAGTTGCATAAAATAGTTCTTGAACAAATGAAGGCTGAATAATAGACTCTCTAATGATAACAAAACATATATATCCCTCCCTCAAGCACACATTATTGATCTGTCAGCAGGTCCTGGAAGGAGTTCAGAGAGCTTGTGGCTGGTGCTGGGCTGTCAGGTGTCACCACTGGCTCAGAACCCTCCCGGCTGGCCAGCCCGTAGCCCCGGGGCCAACAAAGACAATGGGAGAAAGTTACCAAAGAGAAGGCTTCTCTTTTTCTTCTGGGAACTGGTTTAAAAGCTCTGACTGCACCACCCCTCCCTGGAGAGACTGGACAGGGCCACAGTGAACAAGTGTCAGCTCTGGGGCAGGTGCGGAGACAGAGGCAGGTCTAAGGAGATGGCTCTGAGCTGAGGAAAGAGACTACGTGGAGGGCCTATGTGGTAATTTTCTGGCAAGGAAGGAGGAACAGACTCGGTCTTGGCTGCTGTGGAGGGTAGAGTTAGTATTCAGAAGAACGGTATCATGCTGCTGTGGGGTGCCTGTGCAGTATGAGAGTCCATCCTGGAAGTATCCAAGCCGAGAACAGAAGTCATCCTGTCAGGAATGCACTTGAGGGACTTCTCATGGGATGGATCCTGACTGGCTACGAAGACGTCTCTAGTCCTTCCATCTTTAAGATGCTTGAGTCTATAATTTCAGATACTCAGTTTCTCATCTGGGGCCAAATCTATTTAATCAGCTTTCCATTCAGCACCATAAGGAATGAACCTGCATCCTGAGACATAGATCATGGGGCCTCGTGAATTATAAGAAAAAGAGAAATGGCCGGCCTAGGATGAGCGAGTCTCATAAAAACTTGCAGGTCCCCAACCTCTTTTTCTCATACGAGAGCTCAGGAGGGGTTGGAAAGTCCCCCTCTCCCTCTGCTCATCTCGTGCATTCCCCTCTCACCACCCAGCATGCTGAGCCGATGGGGCCCTGGGAGCCCCGGATGGGAGATGTGCCACTTCTGTGCGTGCCGGCTTAGTGCGTCCCAGATACAGGCTGCCGGGCTGGAGAGAGACCTCATTACTGTCCTAACTAATTGGATCTGTTTTTTGCCAACCTGGGAATATACCCAGTAGACTGCACATCTTTGATGTGAGATGATCATAAATTTAGTAGCAGGCTCTGTATGTGTGTATGCTGGGGGAGGGCAAGAAAAAAATTCTGTTACTTTAAATGTAAACCTTGATTATAAAATGAATCCCCCCCTCAAAGAAGTGAAAATGTTTTTAAAAATCTGCTCCTGAGGCTCGGGTGGTAAAGCCTGCCTTGGTCGCTGGGATGAGGCAACCAAGGTGACAAGGCTGCAGCAGACCCAGGGCTACGACAGGGTCCTGCCGATGCTGGGACGTTTGGGTGAAGGGCAGGTGGAACAGCAATGGAGGAGGCTGCTGCCTTCCCTATGAGAAGGACTGTCGATAAGGCTGGACTTTCCCGAAGCGGCCAAAGCCCCTTCACGCCACAGCCGGGACTTCCCAGGCTGGCCCTCTCCGGCAGGGGCTCAGGGGTGCAGTGGCTTAGGCCCAGCAGCTGCTCCAGAGCCACGAGGCCTGGCTTCTGCTGACCCAGGTGAGCTGGAGGGAGAAAGACCAGGTTCCAGGCCGGCGGACGCCGAGCGAGCCTCTGGGGAGCACAGAGGGCCCCTCCTTTTACCTTCCTGCCACCGCCAGACGGTGATGGTGTGCTCGGGGTCCACGCCCACCGACACCAGCAGCTTCCCGGTCGCGCTGAAGTTGACGTAATTCACCCCCTTCGAGTGGAAGCACCGCAGCATGGAGAGGGTGTGCTTGGTCATGGCGTCCCACACGTGGATGGAAGGCGTTGTTCCTGCGTGTGGGAGGCGTGACACTGAGCTGAGGCCAGGGCAGCGGAGAGCCCTCGTGAGACGCGTGTGGGGTGTTAGGGCGACGGGGGGCAGGACCCGCAGCCTGGCCTGGCCGGAGGCGCCTGCTCTGCTCTCAGAGGCAGAAACCCCACGACGCTGATGTCCGACACACACACAGGTGAGGACTTTAGACAAAGGAAACTGGCCAGGTCAAGGATTTGTATCTGCAGGTCAGCCAGATACAATCAGCAAACATGATGCACGGACATGGTTTTGCTGTGGATGCAGACTACTCACGCACGGACAGCCTTACCTGCGGCCTCCGGCATGTCACCTGCTTTGGGTGGGCAATGGCAATGAGGAAGCGTCGAGGGAAAACAATAGCTAAAATAAGTCATGTTTCCAATAGTGAAGCTTTCAAATTAAATTTAAAAATGGGCATGGGTTCAGCGAAAACAAGCAGGAAGCTATGTTTATAAAAACTGCCTTTGAAATGACAAGGTTGAAAAAAACAACTTTTCACAAATGTGAGTCAGTTCACATTTGTCACCGGCAGTTTCCGAGGGTACAGAAGAGCCAGGCACACATACTGCACTCCACCCTCGCCGCGCGGTCACCAGGCTCAGTGAGAGGGGGGCCTTCATCTGACATGGGGCGCTGAGAAGTTACTCTCACGGGTTCCCAAGGAAGGGCCATCCATTTATTTGGATGATCCGGCTGAACAGCTGGTCCCTCAGAATCACCAATCACTGGATGCGCCAACTCAGGCAACAGATACATCAAGGGCTCAAAAAATTCACAGCAACACCAACAGGAAAGGGTGGATGTCAGCAATGTCAGCACCCCACCCGCTCCCGTGTCCGGTAATGGCTAGTAAGCCGGGCCCCTGCTCTGGGAGGAGAAGCCGGGCTACTGCAGGACCCTCGTACCTATCTGGCTGGTGGCCACCACGTTTCTGTACTTGGGGTGCTGGTTCACTGTGAGGCAGAGGATGTCGTCCGTGTGCTCCAGGTAGAAGCTCTGGCTCCCTAGGAGAGAGGCGCAGGAGCGTGAGCAGGGGGTTCTGGAGGCCTCTCAGGGTGACCCCAAAGCTCCAGGTGGAGTCTTTGGAAATACGATGGAAAAGCAAGAATGTAAAACCCCCAATTCTCACTTTCAGAATCATCTCTGGGGGAGATGGGAGTTCATTTTTCAGATCTACGTGTTCTGTTCTAGGTCTGAGAGAAGAGCTAGTGTCTGTTATCTAGCACACATAAGCTCCACTTCACTCCTTCTGATAACTTATGTGGGTCCAGAGCACAATCTAAGCACAGAGGCTTCCAGAGGCCAAATGCTGAAGCTCAATCTCTCACCTGTTCCCCATGACCCGATGGATGGCTACTTAACACCCACCTCTGGGCACCGGGGTGCCAAGGATCTGGAGGTGATGCCTTGTTTGTTGGAAAGAGAAGTCGTGAAATAGGAAAATACTTAGGAAATCCCTTCTAATCATCTTTACTTACAAAATGCCAACCCACCTGGGTGCTGGATGGTAAAGATGACAGTTTCACTCCCTAAAGCCCTGACTTAATATATGGCACAGGAAGAAGAAAGGAAAAGAAGTACCTTAGCATCTACTGTGGCAAATGAGTTCACTGACCACTGAAGTGGCCACTGTAACCCATGCAGTGGCCAGGACCCCAGAGGCAAATGATGGCATTGCTATATAAGGAAGCAGCACATTGTTTCTAAATAATAATAAATGACTAGAGGATTGAGAAAATGAATACAAATTTCAAGGCCCTCCTCCCTCCAAAAAGACACAAACCATTATGTGATTTCACTGTCTAACAAAAGCTATGCATAAACAAATAAACAGAATTAGAAAGGAGCATAAACATTTGGGGGAATATGGTTTAAGATACGAAACAGATAATACAAAATGGTTCTTTTCAGCTGATGTTATATTTAAATCTGATGTTGAGATAAGGGCTTCTACTAAATTAATTTCTGAATGTTTCCTTTTCCTTGAAATGTTTCTAAACTATATTTAAATTTCAGAATTGTGGTGCACTTAAAGGACATTTTCGGCTTTTTTGTTTATTGCTTATTTGTTCTCTTTCTCAGTCTGGCTAAGTAGTCAAATAAATGATACCAGAAAATTTGATCTGCTAAAAAATCAACTCGTGAAAAAACTTCCTCTGTTTTGTTCTTAGTTACCATCTATAAGCAATATTTCGACACCGCCCACTCCCCCCCACTCCCCCCGCCCTTTCTGGCTTCTTATCCCTCTCAGTCTCTGAGAAACTAATGGAAACAAGGAAGGCTCCTTTGAGGGCCTAAGGCCTATGACAGGTAAGGTTAGAAAGATGTCTTAGACTCTGAATGTGGGCCTGAGAATTTTCTAGGAGTAAATGACACCTGCCTGGAATTGAGTGGAATGGCTCTAAAAGGAAGGGGAATGCTTAAACATAGGAAAGTACCTAAAGGGGCAAAAATAAAAGCCTGCTTTCAGAAGGTAGTTTCTAAGTTCAGATGGTGAGGTTACCTGTGACAAGATTCTGAACGATGCCAGCTGCTGCGGTGTGGAAGATGATGTCGGCCCCATCATTCAGGTAATGCAGGTTATTGCGGCAGTCGAATCCTCTATAGCCAAACACGTGGTCGAGCGCCAGCTCCTGCGTTCCCAAAGGAGAGGAGCAAAGCCACGCTGCATGAGCAACCACGTGTGTTGTGGGAGGTGCATGGCTGATGAGACAAACCAGCACTCACTGAAAGCATTTGGTTCTGGACTAGCTGGAAAGAAAATGCAGCCCCTTCCCAGCCCCGTTGGGGGCTGGGGGAAGTAGAGATTAGAGTCAGTTTCTTAAGGGTAAGATTTGCTTCCAGGTTCCTCAGGGGAGCCAGATTTCCATTTGTTGATGTCCTATAAAGAAAACCTGGAAGCTTTGCAGGTGTCCAGGCAGCTGAGTAGCAGTGTGGGGATCTGCTCAGTTAAGCTCCCGCAGGTGCTGCTGCGGCTGGCAGGCCGAGCGTCATGCACTCTGCCTGCGGCCTGCCCTAGAGGCTTCTATACAATCGACCTTATTTGTTGGACCAACTACAGACTGTCCTGGATTTATAGTCTTACTCCCTTCCTTTCTTGTTTTCCATGACAGGGAACAGTGACTGTCAGATCAGCTCTTAATTCAGCTGGACACATGCGTACTGACTGCTCTCCCATGCCAGGCCCTGTGCTGGGTGGTAGGATAAAAGATCAAGCAGATGTAGGTCCCTTTTCTTTAAGTATCCCTGATTCTAGCCTTTTTTGTCTCTATAGTTCACCATCACCAGTCTCAAACATCAGATTAACTCCTAAAACAAGCATTTACCAACTTTCTTGGCCTACAGGATTAAAGCCCAAACTCCTCAGGCTGTGTAGGGTAAGGTAAAAAGTATCAGGCTTTTCTGCCCTCCCGCCATCAGGATAGATGAGGGAACCCTGTGGTCCTGAATGCATGCCTGATGGCGGGCACCTGGAATAGGGTGTGGGCATAGGTAGATGGGATTCACCTGGGCTGAGACTGGGCTTTTAAGGGCGGTGTCACGGGGACGCCAGCAGAAGCTGAAGCAGAAGCCGGGAGAAGGCTGGAGAGCCCAGAGTGAAGACCTGCTGGAGGCTGGGAGGCCTGCCAGTCTCCCGGTCCCCCAGCACCCCTGCCTGCCGTATGCCTGGTGAACCCCAATAAAAAACCTGCAAAAACCACTGAGGACTCTGACTCCTCCTTTACCCGGTCTGCATGGGATCCTAGAAAACCTGCACCGTGTCCAGTCCTGCCTCTACACACAGGTAGCCACAACCACCACATCTATCCCTTTGGTCAAGCTGACCTGTCTGCTGAGCTCACAAATTAAAAGCTTTCCTATCTTTGTAACTTTTATTTTAATCTCTCATTTGGAAAGCCCTTCAATCAACTTAGCATCATACCCATCCCCGCCCTGTGAAAAAAACCCAAACAGGTCCTGCTGTAGGTACAGCTGACTCAAGTTGGGCCAATCAGATGGCTTCCCCCTAAAATTTAGAATTGGGGATACTGGTAGGCTTGGCTGTTTAACTGAGGAGCTGTAAACTTGGTGCTGGGTTGTACCCAGAGTCTGCCAGAGCAGTTCAAGAAATCTATAGAAAATGAGAATAACGTATCCTCCTATTGGGCAGAAAGAGGCATCATGTTGGCTTATGATGGCTTTTCAGCTCCTGCATCCTGTCTTCTCTGAAGTTCAGCTGCATTTCCTGACCTGGGCAGTGTTCTGTGATAAATCCTCCCAGTAAATCCCCCCTTCCAATACAACATTTGAAGATGGATTTTTGTGGCCTTGGGGTATTCAAAGTCTAGTAAGGGAGGCAGATGAGTAAGAAATCATGGGAGTAGAGAACGTGACAGGGCTATGGAGATGGGGTATGGTGGGGCTAGTGCAGAAGGGTTTAGGGTGGGGACCATCAGAGGACTGCACAGAGGAGATGCCAGAGAAGGGCCTGGAAGGAGTAGGGTGTCGGGAGGGAATGGAAACACAGGGCCTTGGAAGTTCAAGGCAGGATCAAAAAATGTTAAGTAATGAGTTCTGGGTTGGAGAATTGAGTTCTGGAGGAAATCACAGGTGATGAGTTTTGAAGGTGGCTCCTAGGAATGGTTACAAAACTATGAACTTGAATCCGAGGTGTGCACCTCCTGGATTTTTTTTTTTTTTTTAGATTTATTTATTTATACAAGCACTGGGTATAGTCAGAAGTGCGGGAGGGTGAGAGAATTCACCAGAGCCAGAGCGGGGAACAGAGCAGGCAGACTGACTGACGAAGTACACTGCCGAGGGGAGCAGCGGGCGGCAGGAGAGGTCTGCGCGCCATGGGGGACCCTCCTCCATGGCCGGGGAGCAGCTGGGGATCGAACCGGCGCTGCAGAGGCTGCGGGCAGCTTCGCAACCCAGCGCTCAACCGCTGCGCCACCAGGGGAGGCCCCCTCCTGGATCTTAAAGCCAGGGCGAGGCCTGAAAAATTGTATTTTAAAGAGCTAACTCTGCCAGCAACAGGGCATGTGTCAAAGAGGGGAGGTGGAGAGTCTGAGTGCAGAAAACAACAGTCACTGCTGCAATTCTCAGTTGTTAACTGAGTTCAAATTCCCCTTCACTTACTGGTTTGATCTTGGGTATGGAACCTCGTATGTCACTTTTCTGACCTCAGAGGTGTGAGGAATATATGAAATACTTCATGGCAAGTATGCAGCAGAATACCCAACACAGAGCAGATGCTCAAACATCAGAGACAGTTAAGAATCTCTCTCTCCCCCTCTCCTCTTCCTTTCCTCTCCTCCTCCGTTTTTCTTATCCATGAAAGGGAGGCTGAGTGGGCCTAGGTATAGGCATGGGAGGTCGAGGTATAGGGAGAATGAATCAGGTTGAAGGACATGGGGCATTTTCAAGTTAGTACTGACCGGACCCCATGCAGGGCTGGGAGGAGGGAGAATGGACCCAGTGATTGGCTTCTGGTCCCTGGAGTGGAGGACTCAATGCTTCGTAGAAGGGAGAGGGGACAAGAGAACACCCCTGGATCCACTCAGGCTCAGTTGGAGGTATCTGGGAGTGCGCAGGTGGTATTGCCCAGCAGGCAGGGCTTAGGACAACAGTATCAGATAAAAAGCAAAAACAGTTTAACCTTCTCACCTCAACCAGCTTCTTTTTCTTGGTGATATTGTTCTTCTGGAGTTTCTCAGGCTGGGGAGCTGCTCTGCTAACAGGTGGTCTGGAACAGAAAGTGGCCAGAAGAAGCAAGATGTTGAGCAAAAGGCAGCAAGGTTGCTGGTCTGGCCTGGTCAGTTGGGGTCATGCCAGGCTCCTCCCTCTTCTTCCCCAGTCGGAGGACCCTCCACTTGGGTTTGTTTTGTCTTGCACCCTCCCTTGCAAAAGCAGCTCCTGACATTAAGGGTCCTGTGTGATGGGGCCTGGATTCGCAGACACCAAGTAGGGCTCCCCCACATCTAGGGCACCACAGCCCCACCCTTCTGGGGCCAGGAAAGAACACAGGAGCCTGAGGGACTGATGTCAAAACTAAAGAGGAGCCGAAGCAGGAGAAGGAAGAGGTCATGTTTGGAATGTGCCAGTGTTGTTCAGAATTAGGTAGTCAAGATCACGGCGTGCTGTGAATTGGGACTTCAAAGTGAGGCTTGAGAATGGACCCTGATGGCCTGTGAAGAGGGCCCAGGTCATTCTAACTACATGAAGTGGCCAGCAGGAATCACAGGCCTAGAAGACAGGAATAACTCCCGTTCTACCCTGTGCCTCAGGGTTACCGTCTATGTCAAACTACTACCATCATACCAGAGCTTGATTTTCCTGTCTCAGTTTTGGAGATTTGGGCCACCAAATTTGATTATAAGAAATTTCAACAGGTAAGCCCTTATGGACCCTTACACAAGTAGGTCAGGCTTTGGTGATGGGGGGTCCCCTTAAATCAGGCTTCTTGGAGTTTAGGACACCAGGGCTGGGTAAGACAGACCAGCACCAGCTCCCGCCACATGTTCCAAATCCATTAGTTATTGTTCTTGGGCTATGCAAAGAGAAAGGATTACCTTGATCCCCTTGTAAGCAGCAAACAAAGCCAAGTGAGAAACTTAGTACAGTTTAGAGCCGCATTAGCAACCACCTCATTCATGCACAAGCATTTTCCAAGTGAACAGACATTCTTGTGTGGCACAAACCATGCTTCCCGAGCATGCCAGCAAAGAACTAAAACAGAAATGAAAGAGTGCACCAGTCTACAAATCCAGAAAGCTCATACCCTGGCGTCTCTGGGCAAACTCTGCACTAAAGCGCCTACAGAATAGGGAAAAAAAAGGAAGCCTTGTCAATGCTTCCCGCACACTCTCTGCCACTTTGCGAAGGTGCCTGGGGATGCTGCTTATTTTAGAGTGTGCTGGGGAGAAACTTGTTGTCAGAAAAACAATAACATCCTCCTGGATGTCATTGGGAGTTATGCATAATGGATGCTTTGTTTCTGCATCAAGTTACATTCATAATTTAGCCAATGATTCCCAGTGTTTCTTGGTAGGGCAGCTGGCCTGCAGGAACAGCTCACATTTTTGTGCTGGGGAAAAACAAGTTACCTTTATTTTCTCAGAAACTCTTCAATCCAAAACATGTTATGTAATCATAAGTGATAATTGGCCCAAATGATGTTATAATCACCACTGAAGAATGTGTAAAGAGCACCGCTGCAAAACGACACCCCCGGCTGACGTCATTGCTGCCAAATTGAGCAAATCCGGGGAGGCCGGGGGCACACCAGCTCTCACAATTAGACACTTCCTTCACATTAATTATCGCTTCCCAGGACATCTGCTCTTTCTTCTGTTTTAGTGGGACTTTCAAATGAAATCCGTGGGTTTCTTCTTTCATCTAAGAATGTTCAAGTGTATGACAAAAGCAAGCCAAGGTGTGAGAGGAGCCAGAGGGCACTAGGACGACAGCATGGTTCATAAGGCAGAATTCGAGGTTAAATACAAGGCTTGTTCTCAGGGGCCACACGTGTTGTATAATATGCGGCATATTATACAGTGTATACAGAATATGCATTCCAGCACAAACACTGTGTGTTTATATATACGCGGGTTGTATATATGCACACAGAGGCAATCCGATGCTTTCTTTCACCTGATTTTCAGTTAAAAACTGAAAAGTAAAGCAATCTCAGAATGTTTCTTTCTTATTTCACAAGCATATGTTTACAGCTGTGTTGCTTCAAAACTGAAGATGAGAGGGGCAAAAGGAAGAAACCTGCATTGTGGCAAATTCAGCAAATTGTAAGTATAGACCCTTCGCGATTGTGGATTCTGCATGAACGCTCACTACTGGATGCTCATCCAACACTTGGGGTTTTGCAGGGTGCTGTGAATACTTACTTGACAATTCCCTGCCTCCAAAGGAAAGCAAGTTAAAACACAATACAAGCATTAAAGGTTTCTATCAACAGTGTTTGTAACATTAGAGGTGGCAGGGATGGTCAAAAATTTCTAACACAGTCAAATGCTGGAGATTTAGCATTTTTCAGCTGATCTAAATCCTTTCAGATTCAGATTCCGTTGGAAATGTGACTCTGAAAAGCTTAGCTGAGGTGGGAAAGAGTGGAGTGCATGAGAACATTCACTCACTTTTCAATCCAATAACTTTGTAGAGCTGGTTGCTGCCGCTGGGCACACAGTGTGGGAGAGTTAAGAAGGGAGAGGTACAGTTTGGGCATTAGCAGAGAGACCAGTGAGAGCTGGGAAGGGAGGGGTGGGGGGGAGCAGAGGCAGAAAAGAGTTTCATGGGGAAAGTGGGGTTTTGAAACCACTCAGGGAAAGAACAGAAATAGTTACATTGGGCAAGAAATTTAAGAAGGAAGCCTTGCAAGAAAGGAAATAAACTGGATCACCAGGAGAAAGGAAGGGGGACAGGCTTGAGCTAGGAGAGAGCAAGAGAGCAGCTTTTCCAGAAGCAGGGTGGGCGTAGGAGACTCAAGAACTCAAGCGGAGGACTTAGCGTTAAAGAAGGAGGCAGCCCTATTCTTGCCAAGTGGAGTGCAGGTTGCCAGATGCCCAGCAGCACCTATGGAGCGTGTCATTCATTACCCTGTGCCTCATGTCACGTAGTGTGGGAATGGCTTTCTGTGGGGATGGAAGGAACGTGGGAAGGTAAATCCCTGCTGTTCTGCTAATGTCCAGCAGTTGGGCTGCTGAAGAGAAAGCTTAGACTCACTTAAGAGTTACCCTGGCATAGACTCTCTCCCCACAAAGGCCCCGAAGGGTGTGGCAAGTGCCCTGATATTCACCCTTCTTTGCCCTCTCCCTCAGGTGTTGGGCTAGCAGAGCAAGGGGTGGAGGTGAACACCAATGACCTGAGATGTGTAGGAGAGGATTCAGAGCCAAGGCTCTTAGGGATACTTCTGAAAAGACTGAGGAGGTTATGAAAGTCAGTTACAATCCAAGATGAATGCAATGTCAGAGCAGACTGGGGAGTAAGACTCCAAAAGTCGGTGAGAAACAAAGTTGTTCCAAGCAGCTTCTATAAAGAAGGGTGTGGGTGTAGAAAAACTCAGCTACATTTAGCCAAGAAATATAAGTTAGGAATTGTTTTTAGTGTTGTTAGTCAGACAATGTTCAAAGTGTCCTTGGGGGTAATATAGCTTTCTTCGGATTCCAAAATGTGCCATAAAGTGCTTTGGAGTTCTCAGATTGTCTCGGAGAACCTGGTTACACTTGATGCTGGGGCCACTAGATTATCAGAGAATTATCCTCCGAAGAGATCAATCTCCCCATGAAGGGACTTCAGGAACCCAGCAAAGTCCCTGACACTCACACTCAGCTATGTTAGGACATATGCATTTTTCTGGAGAAAGGAGACATTCTTGATGAGATTTTCAAAGCTTTCTATAATTTGAGAGGAAACAGAGAGAGAAAATGAGAAAAATAACTACCACACCAGGATAAGTCTAGATTTAGGAAGTCTCCAGAACTAAGGGGCACTCTTTTATTAAAGCAAAAGAAAATGGATCCTGTGAAAAGGATTCCTATGCTTTTCCAGAACTATCTGCAGAGTTGCTCAGTGGTGAAGTGGACTTGAAAGAAGAGAGGCAGGCAGTAGAATGGTGGGAAGCTCTGAGAGAAACCTGCCATCTTGAGAAACGCTCTTGACTAAAGCCTACTATAACCTAGCCCTTTATTTGTTAAAGAAAATAAAGGGGTGTGTGTGGGGTGGGTATAGTCCCAGACCTGGCCATTTTAGGTGAATATCAAATTATTTAGCTGAAAAATTAAGGGATTAAGGGCATAAAGAATGGAGGAGAGAAAATCACAAGGAAAGGTAGGTAGATGACTGAAGACGCCACTACAAATAAACCAAGTGAAGAATAATGAAGATCCTGTCTATAGCAGCGCGTGTAGATAAGGAAATGAACAGATATTTAAAGAAAGAAGGTGAAGCAGATTTTAAGAACTTTGTCATTGATTGACTCTAGGAGATGAGAGAAGAAAAGGGTGGGTGATGACACCATTAACTGACACAGGAGATTTATGAAGAATGATGATGAGTTCAGTTTTGGCATGTAAAGCTTTGGACACCCGTGGGTTGGCTATACTAGTTGGAAGTTCATCTGAGAAGTGACTCAGAGGTGACCTTGGGAATCATTAGGAAATGAGTTGGGATATATGAAATTAATCACGGAGAGGGTATGGGGTGAAAAGAGAAGATGACCAAAGGAGAAATCCTGGGAGGGTTTGGAAGATAAAACACAGATAAAAAGTGAGAAGGAAAAGTCAGGATGTGGGAGGGCCAAAAATTATTTCAAAAAGGTAAGTAGGAGAGTGTCTATGACTACATGTCCAATTGGTAGCCAGTAGCCACATGTGGTTACTGAGCACTTGCATGTGGTTAGTCCAAATTAAGATGAACTGTAACTGCAAAAAACACACTAGATTTTTGAAGACCTAGTTGAACTCAAAATAAATTATTAATTTATACAAGTTTCATGTTAAAGGTAAGATTTAAAAATATTGGTTAAATAAAATACATTATTAAAATTAATTTCATCTCACAACTTTTAAATGGAGCTACTAGAAAAATCACCTATATGGCTTCTATTAAATTTCTATTGGACAATGCTACACTAGAAGAAATAACTTTTTCTTTTAACAAGACAAAGACAGAAGAGAGTGGATTGGATTTTGGAATTGGAAAGTTGCCATGTCAGCAGAATAGTAAGGACAAAAG